TTAAAGGGATATTAAAAAATTGGAGAGGGTGCAGATGAGACCCACAAAAATGGTCCAAGGGCTGATAAAATATTTGCCAGTGAGAGACTTCACAAGCTCAAACTGTTTAGCTTCTCAAAAAGTACAAGAGGTGACTTGATTACAAGAAAGTATGTGCATTCATGGGGAGAAAATTGCAGGTCCTAAAAGGTTCTTTAGTCTAGCAAAGGAAAGCAGAACAAGACCCAGTGGCTGGAAGTTAAGTCAGACCCATTGCAATTAGAAATAAGGTACCAGTCTTTCACAAGGCACATAATTAACCATTGGAACACACTCTTAAAGGAAGTGGTGGATTCTCCATCTTGGTGTCTCCAAATCCAGACTGCCTGCCTGCCTGGAAGATGTGTTAACCAATCGGCACGTTATTGAGCTCAGCACAGAGGGAACTGCTAAAATGTTATGGCCTGTGTTATAGTAGGTCAGACTGAATGATCTAATTACCTCTTCTGGCATCAAACCAATGGAGCAGCGTTCATACACAGTTACACCCATTTAAGTATCTCGGTTTAACATCTTTAGCTAAATCAGTACAACTTTTGTGGACAGTCAAGCTCTACATATATCAACTCAATATAAGCCAGGTTTAAACTGATATAAGGACATATCCCCTGACTTTTGCACTGATCTGTCTGAAGACCAGATCTTAAATCTTGCTTATAATCAAAATCATGCTAACCTCACCTCATCTACAGCCAGAGTAACAACAATTATTGCTATTTATTATTTATATTATCGTAGCATCTAGGAGCCCCATTCAGGGACCACGACCCCAGTATGCCAGGAGCTCTATCAACACAGAAGACGACACAAGTCCCTCCCTGCTTCAAAGAACTTACAATCTAAGTTTAAGATAAGAAACCTGGATACAGACAGAGCAGTAGAGACTATGATGATTTTAATCTGAGTTAGTAACAGTCCCTAGCACTTATATAACCCTTTTCATCAGTAGCTCTCAACCTGATAAAAGGATAAATATCCTTATCCCCATTTTACTGCTGGGCAAACTGAGATACATATGGAAAAGCAACCTGCCTAATGTCACCCAGCAGACCAGTGGCAGAATCAGGAGTAAACACCAGGTCTTCTGAATACCAGTGCAGTGCTTTAACCATAAGACCACTCTGTCTAGCAAAATGCAAGCATTCTAAAATCAGGCTAACATAAAACAACAAAACCCCAAAACTCTAGAATTATTTATATGTGTCTTCCAGATTCCTATTATCAAGTTCTTTTCTATAACCAGGATTGCTGGTGACATTTTGTTTAAAAAAGAGTGGGCAGTCATGAGAATCCAGGAGACAGGGATTTAAGAAAAGTAGCTAATGCTGTGAGACTCACAGTTAAGTCACAAGAGCTGGCAATGCTGCGATTAAGAGCAGCCTCTTTTGGTCTGATTTAAACTGATTTCCAACTGAGTAAAACAAGCCTGGTATACTTAACTATCATCTGTCTTCCCAGGGAAACCCAGCCCCTACTTGAATCTCCCTTTAGTAACAGGCACAGGATTTTAAAATTGCTCCCCAAGTCTGAACTCAGGACAGGCATTACTGGGTGCAATTCCATGGACTTGAGCAAAGTTTTGGTTAAGTTTAATACTAGGCTTTTTAGGAAATCTACATGACACCTGCACAATGTCTGGGCACCAGTTCAAGGTCTGACAGAGCTGGGGCTAGAACCCAGGAGTCCATACTTCCAGCTATCTCTCCCTACCCTGACTCACTAGACCCCATTCCCCTCCCACAG